TAAGCTCTGATTTTTTATGATTTTGTATAACTGAATTATAATAAAAATAAATAAAACCATTATGAAAAAAACCAACTTTGATATATGACCATATTTGTGTCATAATTGAATAGAACAAGTGTAAACTCAGGATATTGTGAGAAAACTAACTGTAGTTTTGATTTACACGAAATAATAATTAAAGTTTTCAAATGTACCTTTAGTAATTATCCTTTCAGGAGAATTATAAATACAGTTAGAGTTGAAAATTCAAGAAAAGAGTCTCAAATAGAAAAATAAGAATGGACTATTTTTTTTTCATTCTTATTTACCTCATAGTGGCTGAGGAAATAAGATAATTGTTTTTCTTTTTGCTTGAATGATGTTTTGAAAGGCTTGGAGACAAGAACCTGTCGCCTATTATGCTACTACTATAGTTCATTTTGTCAAAGCTGTGACTTAAATCTTAATTTTACCATAGCTGCATTTTCAAATGTCTTTCCTTTGGTAGGCAGTTGATTTTGATACTTTTGATATTTAAAGTGATAACACTCATGAAGCACATTTAAGACATATTATTGTGAGGAAAATTTCACAAAATGCTAAACATTTTGCAGAAGTTTAAATATAGATGCTGTGCCAAGGTCTCTTTCTGTTAAGACTTGGGGAAAATGTAGTGCCTTTCTGGATCACAGATGGCATCAAAGCAGCTATTATGTCTGCTATATAAAGTTATTCTAATGCCACTCATGTGTGAACTGCTGAACTGTTAGGCAATACTGTAAGGCTTCAAACAGCAAGCCTGGAATCTGTCAAATTCCGAGAAAGTTCGTCTTGAAATTTAGAAATAGTATTCATTGATATGATGATGTACTCTATTTAGAAGCACTGCTTTATCCAATCTGCATGAACTTGTAAGTGCTCTTACATAAAAGAAGGAATACTCTTATCCTTACCTTCCTTGCAGTCATGTTTATTTTCATGTAGCACAAATCCATTACGGCACTGACACATGTAGCTCCCCATTGTGTTCACACATTCATGTTGACACCCTCCATTGTCCTTAGAACATTCATCTTTGTCTAGCAAAGAAACAACCCCATAGTTTAGTAAACAGCTTTAAAAACAAAAGTAAAAACAGCATTTCAAAATATGATCATTAAGCTGTGGTTATGACAAAGGATAAACTTAAGTCAGAGCTCCCTTTAACTATT